ATAATTATTATTTCATAATTCTCTTTTTACAGTTTTGTAATTTGTATTTGCAAATCAATCTCATTCAATAAATAAACGCCGAATAAAAGTTGTGAGTAATTTTTATAAAAAAATTGAACAATTATAATTGATCTTAATTTTTTTTATTTAATTTAATATAATGTGTATTTCATTTTTTGATAAGTATAGTTTATTATGTTTTAAATTCCATCTAATTACAAGTTAATGAAATTATTTAATATATAAACAACTTTGAAAACGAGCGATTATACAGGATGTTCAATAATTGTTCTGACGGAGTTCGTGGACATGTAGAGCGGACTAAAAGAGACGAAAAATCTTTTACCATTTTACAATTTTTGCAATAGTTAACAAGATATTAATTGCTAAAAATTGCCGAAAATTGGTTTCAATAATTTTTTATTCAAATACTATCACCTTTACTCATGGAGCGCTAAGAATTTTTTCAGAATTTTTTAATATTATACCATATTTTCTCATGTTGATAAAAATGAGAAAATGCAGTACTAAAAAATTGATAAAAAATTCTGAAAAAATTCGTAGAGTTTTATGAGAAGAAAATAAACAATTTTTATCTTCTACAGTTTTTTTGTAAAGTTGATAACTATTATGATATAATTAGTATTTGAATAAAAAATTCTTGAAGACCAATTTTCGGCAATTTTTAGCAATTAATATCTTAATTATTGAGAAAATTGTAAAATGGTAGAGGACTTTCCGTCTCAGTTTAGTCCACTTTACATGTCCACAAACTCCGTTAAAACAATTATCGGACATCCTGTATAAGTAAATATTTTTTTGGAAATTTATTTTTATGAAATTCTGATTATGTCTTATTTTATGTTATAATTATTATCATTAAGTGTTATTTATTGGATTATCACACAAACGTAGCTTGTAATTGCAAGAAACCTACGTATATTTCACTACATTTCTTATATAAATCAAAATAAAATAAAAAGTAGTTGAAATTTAAAAAGAAATTTTAAAAAGCACATTAATTATCATTAATTTTCTATATATTGTGCAATATTCCATTCTCTGTAGAAAATTTAGAGGTTTGAGCTTCGCACGTCTTTCACACCTGTAATAGCATAAGCAAAAAATAATAAATAATATCGTATTTAACTAGAAAAGAAATAAAAATCATCATTATCTTGTTCCACTGCACCAAATTTAATTTAATATTTTTATATAAATTTCTATATCATGTTGTAGGTTTATTGCGTCATTAAAAAATAAAGACTAATATCTGAAATATTTAATCTAATTCTATTTAATCTAATGTAATTCGTACCAAAATCATATCTTTCCTGACTACTTGCGGCGTGATGGACGGTGCTATAACGTCGAGAGGTAAGCGTGGGATGATACCTTTCATGGAGGCCCACTGACCTTCGCAAAGTTCATGAAAAGTCAAACGCAACAGTGACTGGCCGCCTAGTATACCTGGCCCTCTGCATGTTGCACCAGCTCCAAATTCCCAGATACTCCAATTGTCTGTCATAATTAAAACCCGTTGTATCTGCAACGGATTGGTCAGATTCGCAAAACTGGCGAATCTTTTGCGCAGCCAAGAAGCAACATAAGAGGCACGACAATCGCAATGCCAAGGATTCTGACTCAAACGTACTTGCTGAATTGTGAATATAGCGTCCATACTACCGGCTGGCAAGAAGGAGAGGTCATTTGATTCCAGTTGTCTAAAAATTACAATGTGGCGTGACAAAAAATAAAGAGAGAGAGAGAGAGAGAGAGAGAGAGAAGAGAAGAGAAAAGAATATTGTTTTTTTTATTTACAATAAACAAAAATAGATTTCTAATCTAAAAGTCACAATAAACAGATTTATAAAACAAATATATAAATTAAAATTTTATTTAAAAAAAAACTTATCATTTTATAAATATATAAGTAAAAAAATTAATACATAAAAAATTTTGATGTTAAATAATATTAATTTTAAAGTAAGTAACTTTAAAATTAAATATACAGAATTTTTAATATTAACTCACAGTTTCCGTAAATTTGGCGTGTCATCAAAAACTCCTGATTGTAGTATCCTTAGTCGATTGGATTGCAAAAAAAGAGAAGTAAGATTGAACAGACCGCGAAAAACACCTCTTACTAAAATTTCTATGCGATTGCCATAGAGAATAAGACGTTCCAAAGACATAGAATTATTAAATAATCCAGGTGGCAAATATTTTATATGATTATGTCCTATTCGAAGTTCTCGAAGCGCTGACATACCGTGTAATGCTTTTGCATCAATCTATAGCAAAAATTCAAATTCTCAAAGAGAGATCTTTTAAAACTTAATAATATGTTGCATAAATATATTATAAATACTTTTTATTACATAACATTGTAATTCTTTAAAATAAAATTTAAATTTATAAAATTTAAACGATATTTACATGAGATATTCTATTGCTTGATATTTCTAGAATTTCTAATTGTGCCAGAGTTAATAATAATCCCTTGGACAATTCCGTTAGTCGATTGTTCCGCATATTCAATTCTTTGAGAGACGCCAAATCTTTGAATATACTGTTAGGCAGCTCTTTTAAACGATTTTCCTCAAGTGCAAGGTGTTTGAGATTAATAGTGTCTCGAAAAATTGAAACAGGTAATCCAACTAATCGGTTTCCACCCAGCAATAATTCGTCAAGATTTCCAAGGCCGTAAAATGCACCGGGAGGTAATAACGAAATGCGATTGGAAGAGAGATCCAGCAAAACCAAGTGATCATTGCTCAAAAAAAGATTTTCTGGCAAAGTACGAAGTTTATTTGACGACAAATCACTAAATAGAATAAAAAATTTGTATTAAATTTTTTATAAGTTTATAAAAAGACAAGAAATTGAATTTCAACTCAAAGAAAAATATAAATATTAGTACAGCACATTTAATAATATTTTTTTTGCAAGATGTATTAAATGAAATTTTAATATAATTATAGAAGTATATATAAAATACACTTCTATACGTTAAACATTTAAATATTTTTTTGTAACTTTCTAGCTAATTTTCTCAAAACAACTATTAAAAAAAGTATATAAAATTTCTACGAAAATATTGATACAATCTTGAGTTAGTTCTTGTGTTTCTTTCTTAATTAATAGTACTAGTAATTAAGTATCCGACGTACAGAATTCGGAGATTTCTTAGTCCATAGAATTGATTGCGTTGCATTTCCTTCAAGAGGTTATTACTCAATCTGACATTTGCGATACCATGCAAAGGCAGAAGCAGGCTCGGTGCCAAATGCTCTATTAAATTACTGCTTAGATCTCTGTAATTCACAATTTCATTAGTATATTATACATGCATCTCTCAATTGTTACACAACTCACAGATGGTGCAACTGCGTCATATTCTTAAATGTGTCTCTGTGCAGAGCGCTGAGCCGATTACTTCCAAGGTCCCTGAAAAGGCACGCCAAACAAATAATATTTTTATTTGTAAAGCATATATATTATATATATATATATATTTATATATATATATAATATGAGAAATATACATAATATAATATTATTCTATATTATATATTATTATATTATTATTATATAATTTTATTTATAAATTATATAAAGCATTTCTATCTTTAACTCGATTACGATTCCTAAAAAAAATCCGTTATTACATATCTGTTCAACAAACGTGACGATATTATTTTTTATAAATTGCTTACAGCCTTAACACATCGGCAGGGACCAATTGCGTCGGAGGTAGATCCAGAAAATTGTATCTCCAACAGGACACCGATTTCATTTCCGGTACGCATTTGCACGGTCCTTTAGCACAAATCTCCCAGTCCTCCTCTTTCAGGCTAATCCGCCAAACTGCAAAAGTTTGCAAACTGATAAGTGTCCTTTCGTGTTTCCGTTGTACATAAATCTCGCAATTTTTACCGGGATGCTCGACGGCTCGCAATCTGCGTTCGAAACTGGACAGACGATTCTTCATCTCCTCAAGAATCGACATTGATTCCTCCGAGAGAGTCGGCGTCGATGAATATTCCGTATCTGTGCTCATACGAGATGTTTTATCTCAAGTTTCGCGATCGCGCATTTTGGAAATTGTATCGAAAATACGCGAAAAGAGATATATAAGAAAAGTATAATAGTTTCGAAAAATATTATTTTTCTATTCTTTTTAAGCGAGAAGATCTATTTTTCGAAATATATTATATATTTTTTATTTTAGAATTTTTAAGATTAAAAAGTTTTTGAAATTTTAGACAAAAAGATACGCATTTTCATAAATGACATTCTATAATCTCCATCTAATATTTTCAACTTCATGTAGTATAATAATTATTAATACAATTTTGACTGGATTGCTTTTCGTATTCTTCAGATTTAATTTAAAAATAATTGTTGTGTAGGCGAATATATTTAATTCTTTCAATTACCTGTAGAAATCCGCATACTTGCGGTGCACATATGTGAGACGAAAGAGTACGTATTCGTCTTGCACAATGAAAAGAAGACAATTACACAGTAAATCTTTGAAGATAAGTCGGTCATGTCACGGACGATTCGGACTAAACAACACATCATAGACGGGACAAAGTTCATCAGACTGAGGATGCGGTTCCCAAGCCAGTCCTTCATTGCGCACGACCGCATCCTCATTATCTTGAACATTGATTTGGAAGGTAAACTTATTACAATGAAGATTGACGGACAATGGCTCCACGCATACAAATTATGGCCTTTCATGCACGTGACGATGTATACACCCCTATTAACAAATCAATTTCCTAATATTTATAGATATCTAAAACATAAATTAATTGGCATAAAATTACAAAAATATTAATTATTTGTTATATATAGTAAATACATGATTATTTTCTAAAGATTACAATATTTATTTTACGGTTTTATGACAAAATAATTTAATGAAAATATGGTAGTTACGTAACGTTGAATCAGAACAAGTACAATAAAAAGGACAATTCAATTTTTTCCAATTTATAAATTAATGTGTTTTCTATTATTTGCCATCTAGAAAATAAGTCATAAAGCTTTGATTTACATTTATTTATCAATCGGTAATGATATCTTGTCTAGAATGTGTCGACATCATTCGTTATACTGTAGTGACGGAAGAAAGTGACGGAAACATATTACGCAATACGACGATGCACATGTGTACATTATAACACATAATATATTATTTAATAATAAATAAAATAGGAATTAGATATGATAACATTCTTTCTTTCTAGCAAAATAACAAATATAATAATGGGTGAAGGTTCCGTTTAATATTTAATCTTTTAAATAAAAGAGTCTCTTTTGTAACGGATGTATCTCAAAATTAAAATGCATGTAATGTTCTATACTGACGCGATTACATAATAAAAACAAAAAACAAAACAAATATAGAAATTATTCAAATATTTCGAAATCAAATTAGAATACATTTTCTTAACTACATATTTGTGTTAAGACAGATTGTAAACGCGATTAGAAAGCCGGTTTAAATTTGCGTACCGAGAATACATTCTATTCAGTACCTGCACACACAACTTACATAATTAGAAACTATGTACTGGGATCAACTGCGTCGCAGAAAAGGAAGTGATTATGAAAATCAAAATCAACTGTTGCTCATTAATATTTATTAGATAGATACATTTTACATTGTATGTCCATACATAGCGTTTAGTTTAGTAATTTTGTTGCTAATTTCGTCGCGTAATTATATCCAACTTACTTGCGTTACACCATTTCTATTCTCTCATTATTAGAGGAAGGGTTATATTGTTACAACATGTTAAAATTCATTTACTCAAACTAAATAAATTCACGATAATAATCTAACAGTTCATTCGACGATTAGTATTCTACTCCACGGTTCTTGATACTTTTCCAAGATCGAGTGATTGTTTAGGACAGTCTTACTCCGCCGGATCCAGGACACTCTCCTTTGCTCTTCATAGCCAATTCTAAGATTAAAATACAACATGATTAATGTAATTAATCTAATTAATATATAATAGTTAATGTATAAATAATTAATATAATTATTATTTAAATGATTAGATTAATACCACAATTTATATATGCTACTTTCATGTGCTTACTTGTGCCCATTTCGCAATTGTGAATATCCAGAGCGCACTGCGTCCCAAAAGTTCTCGGCTTAAAGCTGGAGTCGACAGGATCGTGAGCGCAAACAGGATCATAATCAGTCCCGCAATCTCGCGCGCAATCCTTCTTATTCTTCTTTGCTTCCTTGGACGCTTTGATAGCGTCCTTTACGTCTTTCGACGCGGTCGCAGCTTCTTTGATATCTTTAGGTTCCTTTACATCCTTCATAGTGGTGTCGACTTTTGTCTCGTCGGGAAAAGCGTACGTTTCCTCGCATAATGTAAACATGCTGAGGAACGCGAAGGCTAGGAAGAATCAAGAAAAGAGACAGAAAGAGAGAGAGAGAAAAAAGGATATGAAATTAAAGATAATTCGATTTTAATCCAGTATTTTCCATTTCTAATCAAACATTTCCACAAATAACAGAATAGTTTTACTTAATTACAATAATAATAAAGAAGATATTAATAATATCCTCTGATAATTATTAAAAAATTATCACTGTAATAGAATAAAACGTAATTTTAAATAATTAGTGCAATTTTCGAAAGTCTTTCTATTAGCGAATTACAGACAAGATAATATTACATAAATAATAATACATAAATCTATTAATAATGGCTTAGCCTCTCTGCTGGGATGCTGCGCAGCCTTAATACGCGGCTCTATTGAATGATTGCAGCTTTATTGAAATCAAGGTTTATTTTAAATCGAGATCAGTCCGCTCCTTGCGGCGATTGTGACGTTTCTTCGCTCAAGGTCGTTTACGCCCACTCCCATTTAAAGACATTTCCTTTTGCTGTGAGAGACTTCTTCAAAAATTTCAATTGCTCTCTCGCGCGAATTATAGTTGCGATTTTCATTCTTCTTACATGATTAATCAAAAATAAAACGCATAATTTTGTATAATTTTTCGGTGTATTGTCGATTGAGATGAGATCAAACTAAATTTCAAATTGACACAATTTCAAAAAAAGTGCTTACAAATTGCAATAATATCGATTTAATTTTTTCAATTTTTTTATAGTTAATATATCTAACCTCTAAATTCTTTCTAATTTTATTGCTTCTATTAAAAGTTTTAATATATAAAAAAGGTTTTATATATAAAATCTCTACAAATACGCAATCAACTAGCAACAATATAAACTGCATTAAATAGTGTAATATTTTAATATTATTAAAATCTTTCTATATTTTTTGAACATACGCAAATAGATTATTAATTCAATTTATCAGCATTTAATGAGACTTTTAAATATATTAATAAATATTAACTCAAAATCATTATATATATTTGAATTTACTTAGCAGAAGATACATTTATTGTTAGTTGATTACAAGAATGATCGATTTTAGCACTATAAAATCTTAAAGTCGTTGCAGTTTTCGTACCAACTATAACTGCTACCTCCATTGTTCTAGCTGATCGGTCCGGTTGAAAATTGATGAAAATCAGCAGTTCTAAGCACAGCGAATGACTATCACGAGAGAACTGGCATATCGTATCACACCATACTACGTTTATAAACTGAGTGTAATGGTTAAAGCTATCCCCACCTGAGAGAGATTGAGAGAGGACGTATTATGCTTGGTTATCTTACTTTATGTGGCGCCTCATTTTCGTATCCGACATATTCGCTAAAGAAACGCAGATTGTAATTAATTAATTAAACATTTTTACAAAGTATTACTATCTATGCAAAATAGAGAATGTACTCAATTTCTATATAATTTAAATTTTTACATAATATTATATTATTATGAATTAAGATAGTCGGTCATTACTCTGCAATTTCAATTAAATAATTCACATTATAAGTTTTTACATTATAAGTTTATTATTCAAAAATAATCTTTTCTCTCATATCGATAAGAGGCGTATTAAATACTGCTCATTCAACATTATGCAGATGTATCTTTATATTTGACATACATGTAAGATTAGCAAGAGGTAAATTTGTTAAAGTTTTATTTTCCAGCGTACTTTGCTACTTGGTACACAGTGGCACCGAATAATCATGAATAGACATGACAAGTGCTGTAAAAGGAAAGATCATTCTTGTAATCTTCTCTAATCATGTCGTTCCGACTGACGTCGATTACGAAGTAGATTTGACAGCGCTCTATATTCATAGAAATTTTTAATGAAAATTTCTTTATATAAAAAATTTTTATTTATCTTTGCAATCAAAAATCGGGAGAATAAATACAGCACTTTGTATATTGATGAAATAATTTTTATAAGTATGAATAAGTATACATATAAATAAATAAAATTACAAAAGCAGGGAAAAATGATGCGACAATGAAACTCGATAATGTAAATCTCTCAATGCCTTCTTTGTTCTGTGAGTTGCCTCTCTTCTTTTACGTAACTCTTAAATAAATTTAAATAATCATGCCAAGATTCATGGAACGTAAATGCCTCGGCAATGCGACACGCAGAGGTCGTGCATTTCTCTGTCGAATTTAAACGAGCATTGTTTTGCGTCTCATACTTCTCAACGGAGCTTTTTACTACATCTTCGAGATTATTTAGTATTTCCATACTGGCATAAGCTAAAAAATAACGAAATACAATAAATAAGTTAAAAAAAAAATTAATTAACAATATTTTCGTTTAAAAAATCTCATTTCAAATTCATTACAAAACTTTTATTATTAATTAAAGTTGGAAGTTCGGAGATTTAATCAGAGAACTTACGCGCTGAGAACTTGCGATCCTCGTCATCATCTTTATTGGAAACTTTTTTCTTGATGATCTCAAGTTTAGGTATGAAAAGCAGCAAACAGATTACTGCAATAAATTTCACGATCATTTTAAAGATCACCAATTTCAATATGATTTTTGCGATGGTAAATGCATTTAATTTGAGAGCAAACGGCAATCCTAGATCAATACTTGGCAGAAGGGAAATTTGAGCCACATCCGAAAGCGAGTAGGGTGCACTGTAAACCGGAGGTGGAATAGAAGTATGTATTGAAAGACCATATCCTAAGGAAACAAAAGATTAAACACTACGTCAAATGGTCAAAAAGCTCTGAAAATATAATTCAAATTAATCCAAATGCTAATAAAATTTAAAATAAAGGAAAAAAATTTTCGAAGAAGAATCAATTTTATTAATTAAAAATAATTAAAATAATGCGTCTGCAAAACTCATTAAATTATTGTAAAGCTATAACATTATATGTACATTTGCAAATTTTGAATAATTTTAAGCAATTCTTATTTAAGTACGACAATAAATAAATAAATAATAATAATTATATATATAGATAAATGTAATTAAATATTTCTATTATAATGTAAATTTTGTACCAAATTTTAATGTAGTACTAAATTTATTATAATAATAATTATAATATAAACTTAAGTGAATCAAGTCATTTAATTTTGATGATCAATAATACTTCTTGTCTCACCTTGTTGAGGTGGTAGATAATTTCCCGGTGGTCCATACGACGAAGTTTGAGGATAAAGCGAAGAACCATCATTCGGAGATTCGTACGAATTCTGTGGCGGCCCATAAGAATTCTGTGGTACGCTATAGCGATTATTGTAGTCCATCGACGACTTAAAGGATTGAGAATAAGAATCGCTAGATGAAAGAGCGTTGGGCTCACCATAAGTAATTCGCGGACTTTTCGACGCGTATATCGAATCGGGCGAACCGTACTCTGTTTCTGGCTTGTAAATAGGTCCCTGCACGTACTCTCTCCTATTTGCCTTCGTCTTTGAGTCCGTCTGTACGATCCCTTCTCGCGGATCATCGCTGTTATGTGAGTGCATCAGTGCCTGAAGATAGCTGTCCCTTTTCCAAGCGGTTTTCGGACTTTTGCTAACCCAAGACTTGTGATTGTCGACATGAGAGCCGCGAAGACCCATATTCTTTGAGATGGTTCTTTGGGGGATGGCGTACTCTCCGGAAGCTATTTGACTAACAGTCGTAGGAGATACGAAAGGAACAAGTTTTGTAGAAACGATATGATTAGAATCAGTGACTATTGAGGGTTTGGTCGATAAAGGAGGACCGAGGACTAGTTCCTTCCCTAAAGTTATCGATGCTTCGGATTCTTTGGCCTCTATCTTCAGAGTCGACGCACCTGGTGTATCCTGATAATTCGAGGGCACAGTTTCGTGGGATGAAACCAAGGTGAGAGAAAGCAAAAAAATTTCTAGAATCCAACTGAGTCGCTGCTTTTGTGACATTTTCATAATATATTGAAGAAATATCTACAATAAAAGACATATAATAAAATTAATTTCTATAAATTATAAAATTTATTTATAATATTTTTATAACCATTATAAAAATTTTTTTAATAGAAACGTCTAACGACATCTCAATGATGATTTTATGTGTTTTAACAATTTTAACAACAATAAATTTTTGTTTTTTTTTTAGCCATAAGAGTAAGACTTATATAAGATATTAAAGTAAATGTTAAAATAATTTAGAAGTTTTATAATACTAATTTTTTTCATACGTACTCTAAATAGATAATATTTTAAATAGATAACACGACAATGAATAGACTTAGAAAGTCTAAAAGCATTCCTTTCAATCAATTTTAATTAAAAAAAGAAGAGATGAGCAAGTAGTACAAACAAGCAGCACGACATGAAATGCCTTCTAGATGAGCGTCGATTCCTCTTGAATACGAAATACAGGCAAATGTCGCGCATACTAAACGCATAGCGGTCTATGCCCCTTTTTAGGGTAACCATTTCAACAATAACCTTAATTCACGCGTATATAAAAATAATAAAACAACTATATTTTATAACTTTACAGTAGATTCTTATTCTATAATTTGACATTGTTATAATATAATTTGTTATTATTAATTGTATTGCTATTTAAATTTATTATTATTATATTTTTATTTATAAAATATATAATCTTAAAATTAAACTATAAAATAATGGCAAATTATAAATACACAATAACATTCTTGAGGCTTCCACGGATGCTTTCTATATAAAGGTTATGCGTTTTGCGGGTTTTCTCCGTGTCCAGATCCATTCTTGAAATGCCAACGTTTCGTAAAATCAGAACGAGGGGCAGCCTGATACTCGTCCTGATGAAGTAGAGTGCAAGGTTTGCGAAACATTGGCATTCCAAGAATGGATCTGGACACGGAGAAAATCCGTGAAAATAATTATTAATAAAGCTTAATAAAATAATATCTAACATAGCTAATTAATTTTTAGATAAAAGTAATTACAAATTTATACATATATAAGAAATAAATAAAACATTTTTTTTTAATAATTGTATTTTATCGTGCCCACACTGTGTTTTTATCGTGAAGTATATCAAATTCGTGTTTTTGCCGTGAAATATATCAAAATTGTTTTATTATTATTTTATTTAAGAAAATACATTTAAATTGTTTATCGCGAAATTAATATTATCGCTTTATATATTAAAAAATTTAATTTTTATGTTTATCAATTGTATAATTTTTATATTACTTTTTATACCAAAATATATTTACGATATATACTGTGTAATGAATAAGATAAAAACTTACAAATGATAAATACATGCGTTGACTATTTCCACTTAAAAATAGTTTTCCACTTCCAACAAAAGATAACGCGGACTTTTAACTTTTCAGTTGCACTAGGATTTCTTTCTTCTCTATAAATTTGCTTACTTGCGAATTATTCATTCCTGCATCAAACACAAAAATCTATAGAACTGTTCTAACGAGTATTGATCTCACGAAAAACATTCTTACTGACTGGCACTCACGTCGATCAATGCTCGTGAATAAAAAGTCATCGTGTTTGTTTCGCCTATATATGCCGTTCGCATTCGGAAGGGGCACGAAATTCACGTTATTGGGTTACTATTTCACCGTGCCCCTTTGATACTTTCAGCACCACCATCGATTGTTACCGTCTGCCGTGAAATATGTAAAAATTGTTTTAAGTATTATTTCTTTATTTAAGAAAATTTTATATATTTTGAAATAAAGTTATAATGTTTTATTAATTAAAATAAATAAATAATCATATGTATTTCTTTGTAGAATTTTGTAAAAAAAAAAGAAGAAAATACGAAATTGTTAAAATTACTTTTAATGAGCACCTTCAATAAGTGATTCATAAATGTATGACTAAAAACGTTATTCGGGTATTTATTACAAATTGTTAAAAGCTTTAAATGACAATGGGAGGAGTCAAAGGCATGGCCATTATTATGTGCTGTACGATGCAGTCTATAACGGTGTTACCATCTTTCGAACCTCCCACAATACTTTGATCCAGTGGCACACTTTTTTAGTGGCATTCTTTCAGTGATTCTATTATCTTCCAGAAAGGTATGCAAAATGTTGTATTTGATGAAAGTCTTAACAATCAAATACATACATTCAGCAATCAAAACACGTAAACCATAAAAAAATAAGGAAAATATTTTTCTTTTATACTATATATCGTTCTTTATTCTAAAACTATTTTTATTTTTAAATAACGCGAAATTTTTTCCATGATAAATTTTACTGACAAAAGAAAGACAATTTGTATCAATAATTTTTGTCAAAATAAACAATTTAATTTTGTAAATTATAAATTATAAAGTTTAGTTATATAAAGTATTATATAAAGTGTTAGTTATATAAAGTGTAAAATCTGTGGCTTATTACGAATACGTTTGAAAGGATTATTAAACGCAGTTTCTATGGCCACCCCCGATCAATATACTATCTGGGTTTCTCAGCAACCAAACACGATGCTTATGCATGTGAAAGATTTGCTTCTCATACACAGAATCAAGAAGATTTAGAAACAGTGCAAAAACAATAAAAATTTTTTATATATTTCAACAGATTATAAAATATAGCAAAATGAGTTTTTCAACAACTGAAACAAGGTACGTGTGTAAAGGTACGTTTTGTTTTTCCGAGCTTGGCTCGGAGTAAAGTATAATTTTTTAATGGATTTACATTGTTATACAGGTGGATGAAGTTCGGAAAATCTCATGACTTCGTTTTTGTTGGGAAGGAAGCCATCGCAACGGCTTCTGGCATTTATGTGAGTTTTTTGGATCTAAACACGAGAGAGAGACGAATTGAACGCTTCGATAACAAAGAGAGGGGCGATGGTGCATCGTGTTTGGCTGGACATCCGGTATAGAATGCGTACAATTGTTTATAGTATCTATTTATTTAGGTTATTGAATGTTTAAAAAATAACCGTTAAATATTTTTTTTATAAAATCAATATTTTGAATTTTTCTAGACAGTTTCCATGTTTTCCGTAGTCGAGAGAAAACATAATCCCAAAATATCAATATATATGTATCCAATGTTACAAAGGATCTCCAGATGCATACTGCCCGACAAAATTAATGGTTATTTATCCTGTTCTTTTGCTGGTACAGAGTATCTCATAAGCCTGACTACCTTCCCCGATTTTCAACTGATTGTGTGGCTCTGGAGAACCGGCAAACACGTTGCAATGCTTAACACAAAAATAGACAATCTTAATCAAGAAATTTAGTGAGTGTTTAGTAACTTTCTATAATACAATTTTTAATGTATTGAGAGCTAGCATCTAGATTCTTTAATTTTTTTCAAGATTAAAAATATTAATAAATTGTTTAACTTTGCCAGTTGTTCATTGAATCCTCCACATTTGATATCGCAACTTGGAATTGATAATAATACACTCTCGATCTATCAGTTGCGTACGTGCTCCAAAATCGTAAGTATACATCACGTAAACGCGCTACTTCCTGAACACAGAATTGTGTCTTCATCCTGGACATTAGAAGGAAATTTATTTGTCTCGGATGAATTCGGAAATGTATGGCTTGTGGCAATAGAAACTAATAAGTTGTACTCGGTGGTAAAATCGAAAATATGCGAACATCCAATAAATAAGCCCATTGTTGTCAGTCATAAAAGCGGCGTAATAGTTGTGAATCCCAATAGTGAAATTACGGTATGTATTAATAAATATTTAATATAAATGAAATGTTTAATCATTTGTACTTTATAAAATTATAAAATTTAATATAGGCTAAAACAGAACTAAGGGTACGTATTTAAAATATTTTCATTTAAAATATAGTTTTTGCAATATAAGTATATTTTATATTTTGTATTTCAGCGAAGCATATTATAAAAGTATTTCACTTATTTTGTATTTCAAATTGAAAGTTTGAAAGTTTTATGTATTTCGTAATTTAAATAATAAAATATTCAATCTTAATATTTAAAATGCAAAATACAATTGTCTTACAAATACTGTTTTAAATAAAACTATTTCAAATACAGACCCACCCCTGCGCTAAAAATACATTGTTATTTTTGCACAAAGCTTAAATTTATTTTTTTATTATATGATATTGTATTATATTATAATCTATTTTTTATTTTTCAATGTATTACAATTTACAATATTTTAGTTTTACAAGAAGACGTCTGCGGATTGGAATGTGACATGGAAATTCATTTGGTCAATTTCGACTTTCTATTCTATACAAGTAGGGAAACAACATTGTTTCAAAGATGGGATTTTGCTTCATTCTAAAAACGGAGAAATTTTCGAGATTTGTACGCAACACGACAACATTCCTCATATAGAAGTTATTTATACGGACGAAATTGAATACAAAGCATTATTTTCTATATCTCAGTGTACAGATCACGTCGCGACGTTAGACCGATTAGATCGTCTTTGTATTTTTGAATTATTGACCGGTAAATTGACAGCGAGATTATCTCTGAAGCATCACGGTGAAGGTAACATCAACATAAAGGAGCCTAAGCAAACATTTAATTTTTATTTAAAGCATATTAGGCATACTTTTTTAATTAGTTAGGTTACTATACTATATCATAATTAAGTGTCTTTTTTTCATTACAGTTCTTCACGTAGATTCACATCCTACTTTACCAATGCTTGCGTCGTGCAGCGCTGCTGGCAATTGCATACTAATCGATGTCATAAAAGTTTCATTGCCCAAAATCTTTAATTGCTTCCATCTCTATGGAAACTTATTAGATAAAATAAAATTTTCATGCCATGGCGAACTTTTAGGAATTAGCAATTCTCAAAATGGCATAATGTTCATTATTGGTAAACGATATAAACAACAACGTGTAAATGTTCTAGGATTTATAGAAATTGATGGATATGTAAGATTATATAAAAAATTATATTAAAATATTGTTTAAAACATTACTTATTATATGATAAATTATGTAAGAATAGAGATACATTGGTTTATGTATTTTTGAAGAAAAACTGAAAATAATTCGATGTTTTCTTTTGTTTTTTTTTTTATAGATTACTGATTTTTTGATATACGAAAAAAGTTACGATCGTTTTGAGATCTTGATCCTAGCAACAACTATTCCTTCTATGGTTTTGATCGGCGGTAACAAAGTGATTGTGTACACTTGCGAGAATTCGGTCGAGTTTTGCACACATGCCGTTTGCGTAATAGATATATCAAGACCTTTCAGGGCGCTCTATCATGGATGTAAGCCTCTGGACATATTGGGTGTACCTTCTTTGTCTAAACAGTTACATAAAATGGAAATAGAGGTGAATATTCGGTTATACTTACAAATTGAAATATCAAGTGAGTTAAATTATATTTTTATAAAAAATGCTTTACTTAAAAGGAAAGTAAATCAACATTCTTAAATATTGATTAATTAAAATAATTATCAAGATAACCCTTGCAGAAATTTAATATTTGCTAATTTAATATTTGCCAACTTAATGGCTAACTGGAAGATAAGATTAATTACTTATTTTGAACGTTAAGAAAACTGAATAACAATACTTTTAATACTCAAAGTAAGTAATTAATAACTTATACATTTCAATATTAAATTTCTATAACGAAGTGAAAATACATCTTTTATGCTGTATGCAAAGTTTTTAAATATTATATAAATAATCGTTATTTTAATGTTTACCCTGAATTTTTTTACTTAAATTTAAAAAAAAAATTAATTCATTAATGAATTAATTTTTTTGTGCAGAATAATTTTCAAGATATCGTCCTCACAGATGCATTGTTATCCATGCATCAGCTGAGAAACATTGGAATATATGTTACCGATTCTCGAATTATAACATATGGATACGATGGCTTAATTATAATTAGAGATAACATGAAACTTCGCAAAGTGATTGCAATGTTTATGCCACACCATCGTACTCAAGGTGGCGTGAAAAGTGCAATTTCTTCACAATTTGGAGAAATAATCGTTTCTCTCGGTAGAAATGGCGATATTGTTGCCAATCGAATTCGGTATTTTATCTTTATTTGTTCCTTATCCATTATTGAAATTTCTATTTAGAAAATCATTATAAAAATTAATATAAATTAATTTAATTGTACGACAGCTTAACAGAGGCAAAAACAAATTTGACAGAAACTGAGACTATAAATATGAATTTAACGATCGAGGATTTTACTTCCGATCCAAACGAACAGTATGATCAAGGAAAAAAATCCTGGTTGGATAATGTAATCGCCGCTAAATTAAAAGCCGAACACGAGGAAGCTCTATCTCTACGGGCTTCTATCTTAGCCGATCTTGAGAAAATTCAAACGCAAGTAATGTCTTTTTTTTTTAGGATATAATTTTGATTTAGAATTAAAATAAGTTTTGCAATAGATACGTGAGCTTCTTGATATAAACGAAAGCAAACCACCGGATGCCCGTTTGCCGATCTCGTCTTTTGATTTGGATCGCGAGGCTCGACAGTGCAGAATAGAAGAAGCTCGGCTTGAACGAGACAAATTACATCAAAACCTTGAAGAGGATTGCGCTCAACGAGATCAGGTGGCATCGAATCTACGTGAAATATTCTGGGAACCGCTGCAAGTTAAACCATGTGCTCTCAGATCAATTGGTGGTGATACATTTGTCCAAAATTATCCTTTGATCGCATCGGCTCAAAAGATAAAGGAGTGGGATAGACTTTCGTCGGACACTGACGAATTTTTATACAGGTATTTTTATCTATTATCTTTTTATTTTTTTATTAACTATTTCTCGTATTCTTAATTAATTAATTAATGATAAACGTAATAAATATCTTCTCTATTTTCTTATTATAATATATGTTAAATAATGTAATAATTTGATTGATGTTTAAATTTAAGAATTTATAGAAACAAATATTGTATATTATAAATTTAAGATATCATTTAATGTAAGATATTATTTAAATATTATAAAGAATAAGATATTTTTCTAGTTACGATGTGTATGATAGATCAGTAGATAAAGAAAATGATTCAAAACGAGAATCTACAGTAATTTCCACTAAAGAATCTTTAACAACTAAAGCCGAAAGCAAAACATGTCAAACAGCTAAGAGATGGCATACACTCGCGGATGATAATGAAAAATTGTGTATATCGGGTATCACAACGCATAAATGGCTTGAGGATAAAAGCATAACTTCAACACATCAGCTATTGACTTCATGTGACAATCTCGAGACAATCCTACAGAAAGATGTTATCATTGAAAATCGGGAACGTAAATTAAAAGTAACAGTTGCCTTAAATTTGACTATTTGACACTTAATTATACTACGCAATACTAAAAACATATGTAGATATAATTATACTTAATTACTTCATCATAAAAACTTATATCAAAGTAATATCAAAGTTACTTTTTTTAGTTATTTATAAATATAAATAATTATTTTAAAATTTCTATGAATTTTTGTAATCAGATACATTTTAACAAGCTCTTCGAAGAAATGAAATGCGCAAAAGAATGCGTATTAAAATGTGCAAAGGAACGCATCAATAGACTTCAATATTGCGCATCTGAATTGAAGACAATGTTTAAAATAAATTCCGTTTTGGAACCAATCGAGACTCCTTCCTGGAATGTCGACGAAATACCTGATTATGTAATTACCGTGAAAGATGACGAAGTATTTGAAAAGTCACGACAAGGAGAATTGAAAATAATGGATGAGGATGGAAAAGATGAAAGTAAAGACAAAAAAACCAGCGATTTTTATAAAATGACTCTTGAAAAAATGATGGATGGAGTATTAGAACTTAAGTAAGTCAATCAAAATTTGAAAAACAATTGCACAAGGATTAGTACAAATAGACTTTTGTATATTTTCTAACAAAAATTTGATATTTAATATTTGATAATTAATATTCAAAATAAAAAAAAATATTCTTAAGATGGGAAGACGAGGTGAAAAAGGAAATACCTGTGCCGGACTGTCTAATTATGAAGAATCCTTCGAAATATACCAAAGAGGATATCGAAATTATCACATCGTATAAGTTCAAAGTGCAAACGTTGCAAAGAGAACAAGAAAAATATAAAGCTATATTGCAGGCTGATATTGTAGAAACAAAAGGTCAGTCGAGACATTAAAAAATAAACGCGTTTACTAAAATAGAATAATCGTATTAAAAATAATCTGCAGATTACATGCTGATGTTTTCATTGAGATACGTAAAAACATTTTAGACGCCTTGCAGAGAGACATCGCCGCATTCAACGACAAGTTAAAAGATCTGGAATTAAAGAAGATACAAATTGAAAGCGCAATCTTTCAGGAAAGACTGACAAGGTTACGTGCGATTCGAAGGCACCGTACTATGGTTGACGGCAAAGAAAAAATCGCTCGTTTCACTGACGAGAAGTTAACACCAACAATGCAAGAAGCACGCAGGCTCGTCGAGGAATGCAACTCGCTGGAGATGGTCGTGTCAGAGCTAAAAGTTCGATACGACAACCTCTGCAAGGCGGACAAACGTCAGGAGGCCAAGTTCCGCGGTGAATTCGCAGAGGTGAAGCAGCCGATAGTAGAACACTTGTTCAGGCACTACAAGAAGCGGCCCAAGACCAGTCGGCTGACTATCACATCTGTCACATATCTGACAGAGGTAGCAAGATGCGTCATAAGTAATGAGAAGTCAGACATCTTACCACACGAATGCCTGGATTTCCTCAAAGGCATGGATGCTTTGGATTCAATGCCTCGAAATTTACCATCGCAAATTAACGCCGAATATTGGCAAATGATGTGTAGACTGAGGAGGATAAAGGTTGAAATGGAGATAAAGGTAAGAAAAAAAGAGAGATGGTCACTTATTTATGAAAATATATACGATTGTGTTCTGCGTATATATATATGATACAGGTTAATTAAAAAGAAATCGAACTATAAAAATTTGAATATTTAGATAATTTAAATCTGGCTTCTATCCTCTTCAAAATAACTTTAAGTTGCATTTGTCTCAAAAGACCGAAAACTTCAGTCAAAGACATTCAAGCTGAATCATAAAAGCTGCTTAACACGATTTAAGGATGAAGATTTCTACAGAACGCTTGGCATGGCGGAAACGACGGATTACTCTATAAATGTAAAAGGAAACTGTTTTAAAGAGAATAGAGGTCAGATTTAAATTAGGTACATATTCTTATAAGTACAAATTTTTATAGGTCTAATCCGATTTCTTTTTGATCAATGTATAGTAATAATTATATTAGATTGAAAATTGTTATCTGTTATCCAAAAATAAAAAATAAAAAATGTTAATTTCGATTATTGATATAATATGTAAAAGTTTCGAGATAAAATAGAAGTGCATTGCTTTTATTTTCTCTTTCGTGTATAACAACGACTTTTTGAGCTGTATAAAAGAGATAAAAAAGAGAAAACTATAAAAAAGAGAAAATGTAACATTACTAAAAAAATCGGTAATGTCGAAGGTAACATGTTGCGCGGTAGAGATGGCCGAAGCGGAGCAGACGCTGTCGTTTTATCAGAAAGCGATGCAGTCAGCTGATAATGCCGTGGCATGCAAGAAGGTCAGCTTGGATGACAGGGAGAAATCCTTGATGCAACTCGCGCAGGAAATGGAGATCCAACTTGTCTTAAAAATGGGCCAGATCGAGGTACCGCTGCAAGGTTGTCCCTCTGACTATGCAAACGCTGTTCTCGTTACGTGCGAGGAACTTTTACGGGTCAACGATTGTATTGTTGAAACTGGGAAACGTAAACTGGCGGCTATGCATAAATCCATGCACTTGCAGAAAGTCCTGTCACAATATGAATGGCATCACGTTTGCGCAAAGATGACAATGGAGGATTTGCAGCGGGACTTGAAGGATATCCGAGAGTTCAAGGTATGAAGATTTGCTAGAAAGCGTTTCTCTTTTTATGAAGTGTATCATTATTATATTAGTATTATGGTAATATTTTTACATGGAAAGAACGGTTTTGCTAAAGCATCTAAAATTTAACTACATGTAGCTAAATTTTTATGAACTTCAACAAAATTGTTTTTTCCATTCGTAACACAATTCTATCATAATATAATTATTTAATAACTTTGTTTGTGTAATTTTAGATCACGAGAAACGTGCTCGAATTTTTGACCAACTCTCCTTCTAATGTAAATTTAGAAAGGGATTACGAAAAGATGCAAGTCAATTTGCGAATATTTCGAAACGTGAGTATCGATATATTATTATTAAGACTCAACAAGTTTACAAGTAATTCGAGAAATTTAAAATCTGTTTCCAGAAATTTCGTGAATTGTTGGATTTAGAACAAGCGTGTCTGAAAGAAGCGAAGCTGCAGATAGCTAAGTGGAAGAAAAAGAACGATAAGATATCGCAGGAGATCAAAACAAAGTCATCGGACGTTGAAAAGCGTCGCAGGTTGCTCGACGATCCGCATCGCAAGAGAAACGAAGAGTCTCGAAGGATAAGACTCACGGCAATTGCGAGACGTACTAAACTCGTTATGAAAGCAGAAGCTAATTATGAACAGCTGCTAATCTTGCATGCTCACCTCGAGGTTTTGAAGTTGCGAACGTATCCGACCTTGCAGTTTAAAACCGCATAGTACTCATGTGTCGAGGAAAAAGATCTCATACGAGCGTCGAAAACGTCATCATTGCGGCTTAATGTCAACTTCATTTTCTCGACATTAATTTATAAAAACTATTCTTTTGCTGCTGAATAATAAAGTTATTCTATTTATGCATTTATGGAGATAATTATAAACAGAAAATATATCGTGCTCTGAGTATGAAATGTATCCTTAATTAGTTGGTTCACTGAATTGTAGATTTATAATATGTATGATAATGACGATAGTTTTGTATTACGTTTGTCATTGATGCTTATTATTTCGATCTCGATCTCACGAAAAATTTTAAACGTACAATAAAGGAAAATTATTAGTTCCGAGAAACGGATAAGGAAAGTCATATTACTGCGTCTGAACGTTTCTTAGTAAAAATAAAAAGAGATACGTACTATATTTAAAGATTACAGTTGTTTATTTTGTTTAAAAGCCGCAGAGAAATTGAGTTCTATAATTAACTAAAAATGATATGAGTCATAATTAAAACTTATATATTTTGATGATCTTAGAAATAACTTTTAAAAATAGTATTTTTCTGAAAAAAAATTTTAACGCCGATTTATATTTATGGCCAATATATTCACTCTTAATTCTTATATTTCAATACTATCTTAAATATAATCTTAAGACGTCATAAGTAAATCACATATTTGTATTAGCACCTTAATATAATATTTAAAATAGTTTTAAAAGTAAAAATGAACTATGAAGATAGGCCTTTATCTAACAAGATTTAGAAGCAATACACATCAATATCAACTATTTTATTTGCTTTTTTCAAATAGCTTTGTACAATATATTAGAAATATATAATTAAACAACTAGAAAAATTTTTAGAGAAAATAAAATTACTAGAAAAAGTTTTAACAAGTCCCAAAAATTCATATGTTTTTTTAGCGTCATAAAAAATATGTGTACTTCTGTTACAGTTTAATACTATATTTTTTATTAAATTTATTATTATTTAAAAATAATTAAAATTTTTAATAAAATTTTTGGCTGAATTTTTAGCTAAATTGTATCTTTTACTTCTTTTCTAAGGGATAATAATTGTATATATGTATGTGTTTGTATTATATAGAACACTTGATATAAAATTAAAATAATGAACTAAGAATATTATATTATTCAAAACATCTAACTTTTATGGATCCTAGACGCTCTCTATCTATGTTTAACTTGATATTTTATTTTATCATATTTGTTCGTATCAGTATTATTATTATTTATCACTATTTTTCTAGAAAAAGATCTTGCTACAGCAGCAATCGCGATATCATAATTATGCAATATTAATATGTTTATCGACAAAAATTATAACCGATATTATTTCCTTATTGAAATATTTTGTTTAATGATTACGAGAGCTATCGCGAGATAAATCACGACAGATGTTATTGGCAAGACCATGATAGCGATACTATAACTAGAACTGAACATGTATTTGAAAGACTTTTATTCAAAAAATAGTACTTGTAAGACAATTGTATTCTGTATTTTGTATTTTGTATTTCAGCAGAACACATAAAAATATTACGTACTTTTTGTATTTAAAATCGAAATATTGTATTTAAAATCAAAAGTTTTTTTATTTTGAAATTTAAATAGTGCGAGAGATTGATTAATTGTCAATCTTAATATTTAAAATATAAGATACAATATACAAGATACAAAATACATTTGTATTGCAAATATTGTGTTTTAAATGAAAGTATTTTAAATACATGCCCAGTCCTGATTATAACATTGATACTTTTGCTTTCCAGAATGAAAAATCATAAATTATTCATTATTTACAATGATTTAAAACATATCTTGCTCTAATGGTTCATCGTCCGCTACGAAGGATATTCTGATTTGGCACATACTAAGATATATAAGTAGATAGTGAATCATGATATTACATACTGATCATCAATGAGGCACGCATTTATAGTATCTTCACATCAACATTTGTGCTTCCGCGAGTTGCATAATCGACAAGAATCTACATCAACAAGAAACAAAAAATAATTCACTCTTACACTTATATAATCCATTTAAAAAACTGATAGGCAGACTATAAATATTATTTTGTAGTTATTTTAAATTATCACTCTCTTGTTATAAAAATGAATTCTGCGCAAAAAGGCTGTCATGTCACAGACATGAAAATTACTCACTGTGTAAATAAAGTGAGTAGACACTGCAATAAATTTTATTATGGAGAAAGAGTTTAAAAATAATTAATAAGCTATAATTATCAATTTGTAACTTTATTAAACATTTACATATTTCAAAATTCCGAAGACTAAAATTAAAAAAAATAAAGGATTTAGACTAAATTTCAATTAATTTTTCGATGTCTTTATCGCGGAAAATTGTTATCTCTGTTTAAAAGTTTTCGTTAAAGTAATAATTAATTATTATTAATTGCTGTTTTAATAAAAACTTTTTGTTTACATAATGCAATTTTATGTTACTTGGCAGACAACCAATTAACTGGACTTTCGTATTGATAAACTTATTTTTTAATAGATTATTCTTTATAAAGTCATGCAGTAACACTATATACATATATACATATACAATAGCGTGCAAAAATTTCCAGCGAATGACATTTTGTACTTTAATTTATAAAAAGAAGCCTGATCAAATTTTAATTATTATCAAGTGTTAATATAATATATACAAAAATTCGTTATTCACATCTTGTACTAATATCCGATAATGACTAAAATTTTATCAGACTTTTTTTATATAAATTAGAATACAAAATGTCACTGGCCGAAACTTTTGCACGCCACTGTGTATATATATAAAGCAATTGTGTTAATATTATTTATATCTCGCGGTTCAGAGATTACATACTTATCGAATACCGTTGTAGCGATAAAATATAAGCGTGAACATTACATGGTTATTTATTCAGTTTTTGTTGATCTATTAACAAGAAAAAAGAAGAAGAGAATCGAATCATAATGATAACGGGGGAATTACCGTTCGGTACTTTCCTTGTGTCAACGAAGATCCATACTGTTTTAATTTCGCGATGCGTTTTAACATAATAATGTGTGCATGTTTGCGTGCGTCACATCTTCGAAGAGCGAAGGACGCGAATTCGCCAAACAAAACTAAGAACATAGGTTAAACTTGGTTGAAACGAGGAGGCAAACGAGGACCGAACTGAAAAAATATCGCTTCAAGGTTTCCCATTCATACGATGTCACCGATAATGGGCAAGAAACTTATTCTGGAAAATTACCGAGAATGTTAATGACCGCAGCCGCGCCAAGCCTGACTGAGGATTCAACGATATCTAGTTCCTATTTTTTATGAACGGGATATTTCTCTCATCAGAAACGGAATAATTTTTTCTTTATTACAAATTAATTAAATGCCATAACATTTCTTTTTCTTGACATCTAAAAATTGAAATATTACGTCTGTTAATTACAATTATATTTTAATGAATAAAACTATTTGTTACCTTTATTAAAAATTTCTGATTGTAGAAATTATTAATATATGTCCTAGTAAATTTTTGTTATAGTTAAATAAAACTTATTTCAATTTACGACTATGTGTGATAGGATTCATAAACCATACAATGTCACTAAAATTAAGTTAAATTAAAATCAAAATTCGGTCGAAAAATAGATTATTTATTTAACTTCCTACATTTTAGATAAAGCACTAAATACGTTATATTTTTATTATATCGCCGTATAATTACACAGATACCTAATAAATTAGCATAAAAATAATTAATCTTCATATGTCAACAACATCCAAGATATACAGGATGTATTTTAAAACGCGTGATCACAAACTATAGCGCTATTTCTGATAAAAAATTGAGTCTAAAACTTATAAACTATTTTGAAATTTTTGCAATTAACGAAATATTTGTTAGTTTTTAAAGATTATCGAATAAGCGGGTAAAATCGACGAAGACAATTTTAGGATGTTTTTCATTGTTTATTAAATATCTTAAAATGAACTTTTAACAATTTTTTAAAGTTGTCTTATGCGTCAAATTTTAAACATTTTATTTATAAGGTAACTAAAAAAAATTTTTTGCGAAAATTGCAACATAATTCATAAGATTTAGATTTAGTTTTTGAACATAGCGCTGTATGATTCTTGGGCGCTTTTTAAGGCACGCCATGTTATTATAAGTTTCCAAAAGCAATATAATCTCGAAATTATATTGCTTTTGGGACTTTAAAGAAAATTATTTCTGTTATCGTATATATACTTGCGCTTGATAATAATAATTTTCAAAACACTGGGATCAAAAAACCTGTCTTTTCCTGAAAAGCGATGCGCGACAGGGCTTGAAAGTGCCATTATCGCGGGAGAGGCGAGGAATCGAATAGATAATGAATAACGATGGCGTCATTACGCGAAACGAACGAAGAAAAACGACGACAGGGATCGCGAAGCGATAGAGAAGAAGAGAGGAGGAAAACGAGCGAAACTCCTTCTCCCTACTTCTCTTTCGCGAGCTAAAGTACGAGGAAGAAAAAGACGCATCTATATAAGGACGTACTTAGACCGCTACTCCGGACGGTCTTGACAAGTCGTCGCCGACCATCTGTCTGCGGCCTTACTTGGACTCTGCCTCGTCTTCTAAATTTCGCTAATTCTTTGGGGGAAAATTATATATCATAATCCGCGAAGTGCCGTCATCAAGATGCTGCACAGATTCGCGATACTAGCGATTTTCGCGGTGGCGGCTGCGTCCGCTGAGAATCCGCCACGAGTGTGTAAGTACTTTGTACAAATTAACAGCTAATTCATAAAAATATATTGAAAATATATCATCGATTATCTGAGTAAATAAGAATCTTAAAATTGTGTATTCTCTCCGATTTGTAAATTTGAATACTAAGCATAATCTATACTTCTCACATTTAATCATAAAATCTTTTTGTAGAATAATTAACAAAGATTTAAAAACTATTGTATATTTTTTAACTCCCTTAATTACA